GCCCACGAGGTCGGCAGCCTCGTCGTCGTCGGAAGAGAGATCGAGGTCGGACATCGGCTACGTCCACGGTACAATCAAGTGCAGGATCCATGGATCGAAGGGGGCACGAAAGAAGGGGGCTAACACGGACCGTGACGACGACGCCGGCGGCTGCGATGGGAGAAACTCGATGAGGAGGCATCGAACCGGCCATTGCGGTTGCAGGCATCGACGACAGAGGCGTCGTCGTCCTGGCAAGGTGTCTATCACCGTCCAATTAATCCCTCATTATTTCTCTCTTCCTCCTCCTCCTCCTCCTCCTCCTCCTCTCACTTATTCTCTCACTTATTCAAATTTTTATCCTCGTGATATCTTATTATTGGATCACTCGAGTTCTGGTGATATGCTGCTGACGTGTTATTAAGAAACTTCTCGATTTTCTTTCGACGAATCGTAAAATTTTTCGAGTCATTTAATTCTCGACGTGTGGGGAGATCCACGATATTGCGGAGGCCCTGTGAGGGGTCGATATATTCCGTCCAATAAATCCATCCGTATGTTTTCTTCTTCTTCTTTTTTTTTCTTTTTTTTTTTTCTTTTTTTCGTTACTTAGGAATAGCTTAGGATTTTTATAAATCGATTTTTGTGATATTTTATGGGATTGTGTGGATCTTTTAGTTGTAATAACTGTGATTCTTTCTGAGGTTTCTTACGAGATACTTTATCTTGTGATTGTTTGTAAGATTGTTTGACGGAATTCCTTAGTTTGTAATCATTATGATTCTTTGTAAGACACTTTTTGATGGAATTCATTTTTGTTGTAATGCCTAACTGTGATTCTTCGTAAGATTCTTATGGAATCATTTAAGTATAATTGTTTAAATTTTTATTATATATATATCTTAATTATATTATTTAAATTTTTAATCTATGATATATATATTTTACAAATATTTATTGTGGAATAAAAATAAAAAAAAATAATAAATAATAAATAGAAATTGAACATCATTTATACATGTGAACCAGTCGATGCACAAATACCTATGATTTTTCATTCAAATAATAAAAGTTCATTTATAAATAATAATCTATTATTATTAGTATATATACATACATATATAAAAAAAATATTTATATTTTTCACGAACAAATGTATCTTTCGAGATGCAGAAATATGTTGAGATCGAAGAATTCATTTTTACGAGATATCCAAGTCACCTTATCGACTATTAGAAACAGCTGCTGACCTAAGATAGTCATCGTGACCTGAACTCTAACAAAGCTCCTAAACACGTGGATTTAAATAGCATTAGGCACTCTAGATCTCTAAATGTTAAGAGTTCTATCTATGTTTAATTTTTATACGACATCATACGAAAAAATGATTGATGATAAAAATGAATTGAATTTTGATACTTTAGAGTAAAGAGATTTATTAGATATAAAAATATTGAAGCTTAATATTTATAAGTTAAAAAGAAAAATAATATTGGCATTTGAAATATTTTGTTGTTTTGTAGAATAGGAATATGAAAAATTTTTTAGAGAAAGAGAAAAGTTAATTAAAGCGATCAATTGAATTATTTGAAAATATTATTAAATTATATTTCGATAGGAATAAAATTTTAATATTTAAATATTATAAACATATTCATGATTTTACCATATGGTATCTTCATTAAAATTATGATGTTAGTTTAATCTACCATGATTGAAATTTGTTTTATCGGAAATTTTTTTAATTAATCTACATAACATAAATATATTTTTGCCGAGATAAATATGGTTCGGTGGAATCAGCAGTTTTATAATAAGTCAACAGTTTTATAATAAACGTTTCCATAGTGTCGGTGAATTATCTTCGTCGAACTATTAGAGAAATTAAACGAGATCCAATAATAAGTAAACAAAGACGATAAGGGATCAGATCAGGCATTTTTAATTGCGCTTGCATAGCTAATTGTAAGTGCAATCTGCGGTTGCATTCATTCTCGAGCTCGTTTCGCGATTTCATTATCTTGGAACTTTTTTTCTTTTTTTTTTTTCTTTTTTTCTAAATTATTATTTCGCAAATGGAATAAATATATAATATTGACGATACGCTGTATGAATATCACGCGATACTTTCCAAGTATTCTTGATTGAAAAAATGTTTATTTCTCTTTCTTAAATTTCATTGATGATTCGTTCCCTTATCGAACTAAACAAATTGTGTTTAAGCATCATTCAAATATTTTATAAATGTTTGATCACATTGAAAGAAAAAGAATTTTCGAAACAAGTATCGAACGACAAAGAGAAAAATAATTCTTTCTTATAGAAACAGAATGAGAAAAATTAATAGCAGATAGATAAAAATTCTCTTTTCTCACGTTCCAGATGTTAGACAAGACACCAGGCGTGAAAACATCAAGGCACGAAACATTAAAATTGCCGGTGTCATCGAACAAAAATGAATAATTTCTTCAGAATTATGGGGAAAAAAATAATGAAAAACAAGGGAGAGAAAAAGAATAATATCCTAAGCGGCGCCATTTTGCTGCGTCTCGGCATCGAACTCTCCGTTCTTACCTCTTCCCTCCTTCATTCGTGCACACTTATCAGGAATAATCGAAGTGACCACGAGTTTAAAAGTCAACAACAAAATTGTAACGAACAAAGAGAGTAGATTAAAAAGAAAAAAAAAAGAAAAAAAAGAAATAAAAAAGAACGAAAAGAAAGAAACGAAAGAAAAAGACGTAAAGAAAAAAACCGATGGACGAAAAAAGAAGAAATGCAAGAAGAAAAAATGAGAAACTCGGACGTAACTCGGAAAAGGAGAGCGTGAAAATCAATAAGAAGATGTCTAGTCCCATAAAACAGTGATAAATTTGGTCGTGGTATTTTCTCGAGTCAAAGGAAAAGAGATTTTTAAGAGACAAGAATGAGAAATAATAAGTCGTTCGATCGTCCTCCCTTCGAATCCACGGCGTGAAATGTCAGGAATTTTTTTTGGGAAATTTATTGCTCTGTATATAAATTAAATTTCGACAAATTTTTCCACGAATCAAATATTTTAAGTCCAAATCGAAAGAAAGAATGAATATGATAAAAGAAGGAAAAAAAGAAAAGAAAAAATCGTGGATTTCTCGTACGTGGATCATCGCATCGTTTCGAAAACGACATCTCTGCTTGAGTGACACGGAGGATTTTGGAATAAATTGCACAAATAAATTCATAGCTAAATAAGAAAAAAAAAATGGAGAAGCTGTACACGTATACGTTCGAAAAGATTCCAGGCCAATAATCGCGATCTTCTAGAGAANTTTTTCGTTTTATTTTATTATTATTTTTTTTCTTCTTTTTTTTTAACAAGACATAAATATGAAATTTAGATTTAATTTCGGAGATATTCTCTCTATACATTTTTTTTTTGTCTTTTTTCATTTTTCTCGCACGGTTACCGGCCACTTTCAACCCCCTTGTCGAACAATGATCTCACTAGTATTAGAGCTAAGGAATTTTCTAAGTTTAATAAATTAGTGCTGAACGAACTAGTCACTAAGGACGACGGTGAGAGGTAGCTGACAACCAAGGGAAAAGTGAAAAATAATCGTGAAGTAGTTTTCAATCAAAAAATTTCCATGAAAATGATAAAAATCGAGTAATGGTTCTGATTTTCTTTTTTTTTTTTTTTGGATAAAATCCATGCGAAAAATTTAGTATTCGGTTCATAAGAAAACGGATTTTAATAGAAATCGATATTTTTAAATCTATTTTTTTACATCTAAATTTTTCAGCCTGGATAATACTATTCTTCGTTTCCCACGAAAAGATTTGAAACAGAAGATTTCCAAATTAAATTGGAATCATCTTCTCGAGGCAAAATTGAACGATTTTAAGACAGCCATTATAGTAACTTCGAAATTTATTTTCGTTACGTTCGCTATTCGTTACAAAGCGCATATTACTAACATAGAAATTTCAAAAGAACAACATTCAGACTGCTTTTCAATCGAATGACCTAAAAAGGAAGCGCAATTGCTCTTTACAACCGAACACAAATAAGCAGATGCATATAAACGGATATACCAGCGATAGAACATTGCCATGCCGTTTAACACCATTCAATTTTGCCTCGTACTGTATAGTGAGATACTCGAGGCACACTCGAGTGGTGCATAATGATCGAGGATTGCAAACCACCAGATGTGTTTAAACGTCATTCGCTTAGTTTTTCAATTAGTTAATTTATTTCATTCGACCCTCGATACATTCGAGTGTGCCATTTTAAATTCCGCTGTTTTTATGCGTAGTGAGTAGTGTATGCAAATTAGTGAGATATCGGAAGAAATATAAGTAAGAATCTTAATAAATATTCTAGAATGATAATTAATCCTGCTATGCTCTTTGGATCATCTTTTGAGGTCCAATCCAATATTTTTCTATCTATATTGATGAATTGGGAATACGAAAGAATTATAGTTATCTATTTTAATTTTTTATTCAAAATTCTTCAAATTCGATTTTTCGTGAAAATTCGTATAGATAAAGATTTATAAAAGAGTTCGTAGCAGAGTTAATACTTTTTTTTTCCTTTGTCAAAATTCAGAAGAATAAAAATAATACATAATTTTCTTTACAATTATTATTATTTACACGATGCAATAAGAAGATTTATTTAGAATATCTTATTCATTATATTTCTTCCATCAAGTATTCATATTTCACGAGCATTTTATGTATATAGCTTTCATTTATTCGTCATACGTATTCATACACATACACACACAAATCATAATCGACCTTTCATTGTAAATAATTTGTATGTCGCCATGGGTCCTGTGTAACGAGGAACGATTTATTTATATCAATCGAATAGTTACTTGTTCGCGAAGTCTTCCTTCCTGTTCAGACGCGTCGACCATAAGAGATCGCGATTCAAACGGGACACGTGGCGAGTTCTTGCGTAACCGGATTGCAGATAGCGATGGGATCGATTTTCGTTGTCGATATACATGGAAATTTTTTCCTAGTTCAATCTATCAGAATTTGCATGGAAATACTAGAAAGAATTAACTTGACAGATTTTTCTTGACTTATTTTTCTGG